CATGCGGGAGGAGGCTGGCAAGTAGGCTTCTCCACAACCCAGGGAAGCAGGGCAATTTGCCATTTAAAGGGCCCGTTACAAATAGCAGTTTGTAACAAGGTGTCAATCCATATCTGCCAAGTGACCCGATGTAGGGGGACCAGTCCCCATTCTGCTCTGTGTCAGTGTGTATCAGGGAACCTTAGGGACAGGTGTTTCCTCAATCCATACCCGCCAAGTGACCGGCTGTAGAACAGTCCCTCTATTCTGCTCTGTGTCAGTGTGTATCAGGGATCCTTAGGACAGGTGTCAATCCATATCTGCCAAGTGACCCTATGTAGGGGGACCAGTCCCTATTCTGCTCTGTGTCCGTGTGCATCAGGGGCTCTGAGGACAGGTGTCAATCCATATATCAAGGTGTCAATATGTCATATGTCAGGTGTCAATCCATATTCATTGTGATTTGGGAATATTAGGTGATTTCTGCCCTTTATGGATTAAAACCAGACTCTGCATCAACTGTGTAATTTTCCATGGAAGTTTTGCCATGGATCCCCCTCCGGCATGCCACAGTCCAGGTGTTAGTCCCCTTGAAACAACTTTTCCATCCCTATTGTGGCCAGAAAGAGTCCCTGTGTGTTTTAAAATTCGCCTCCCCATTGAAGTCAATGGCGTTTCGGGCGGTTCGCTGGTTCGCGAACACTTGCGGAAGTTCGCGTTCGCCGTTCGCGAACCGAAAATTTCGGGTTCGCGACATCACTAGTTCTTAGTCAGAGTACTGGAGCTCCATCACAGTAGGTTAAGTGACATAACTGCAAGCATGGCTTGAATGCCTTGAAAGGAATCCTTAATGGACTAAGGTGAGAGACAGGCAAATAATGTATCCATTTAAAAATATCAAAACAAAGGTGGCAACAAAGGACAGTGATGGGGTTCCAGTTGTATGGAATCAGGATATGTAAAACACATTTCATAACATGTTCCACTCAAAGCATCAAAGAAAGCAGCCTACAACCAGAAAACAGAAAAAGTACCCACAATCAATCTACAGAGAATGCAATCTACCCTCTAGTCACAATACTGGGCATTTTTACACTGGTTTTTACTTACAGCATTTAAGTGAGAATTTTTCTTTTGAAATATTTTTTTGTAAAATATTTGAAAATTTTTCCTGCTGCACCTGTTAGTCCTGATAACTGTCACAAAAGGAAATAATATTGTGTTTTAAAACAGTGCATTCTCTCCAGGTAACACCGTTAACATCTTACTAACATGCATTCTGTTCATAAACACTGGACCAATGGCAAATGTAGGCCAGAATATTCAAATGGTAAAAAAAAAATTAACCCAGCGATTTTTCTGGCTTGTTTGTTTTGTCATAAAATTTTTCTTCGTCTTGTCAACTCTTGACATTTTCTGTATTAGTGTATAATCCCACAGAGTGTCAAATCTGGACGCTAAACATGAAAAATAAAAAAATATTTAGATTGTAGCAGAACAGTCTGGCATGGAAGGTTGATTCATTGTAATGTCCTAACTACTACCTAGTTACATTACACATATACATATTTAATAAACATCGGCCTGGAGCTGGAAAGGACCAGGAAGAAAATAAGTGGTACAGGAGTGTCATGAATGTGGGTAATGTAGGTAGCACATGATTAGATGTTACCACTAGGTTGGACTACATACATTTTGTACTTGGTTGGTTATGTATAAAGAATGATTCTGTAGTGCTAAATGTGGAGTAATCACCATGGAAACCAATGAAATATTCCCACTGTTTGTTCCATTCTGGCTAGCCCCTGTCTACCAATCCTAGTGTTGAACATGTCTGATGATTTGTTACAATGTTCCCAAAATGTGAATAGTATTGATGCCCAAGCAATTAATTGTGTATAGTTACATAGAAACATAGTTACATAGTTGTACAGTTACATAGAAACATAGCTACATAGCTGAAAAGAGCCATGTGTCCATCAAGTTCAGCCTTCCTCGCATCTGTTTTTGCTGTTGATCCAAAAGAAGTCAAAAACCCCAGTCTGAAGTGCTTTCAATTTTGCAACAAACTAGGGAAAAATTCCTTCTTGACCCTAAAAGGGCAGTCAGATTTATCCTTGGAGCAAGCAGCTAATTATGATAAAACTGTGCATGGATGTGTCAGATGTAGTTTTTAATTCCTAAAAAATACTGTGAAAACGTCACAGAGTGGTAGGAGACATGAAAAAGTATACAAAAATGCTGTTTCTAGGAGCTTGTCATAATGCAGTTTGCCACTAGATGTCCCCACAGTGCACTATACAAATTAAAACAATATTGCACACTGAACAAAACTGGACATTGAAATATATTTACTAATAGAGTTGAGCGAACACCTGGATATTCGGGTCCAGCCGGTTCGGCCAAACTTCGGAAAAAAGTCCGGGTTTGCGATATAACTTGACCCCGAACCCCATTGAAGTCAATGGGGACCCGAACTTTTGGGCACAAAAATGGCTCTAAAAAAGTCCTGAAAAGGGCTAGAGGGCTGAAAAATGAAGCAAAATGGGGGTAAGAGTAGGACAAGTGCCCTGCAAACAAATGTGGATAGGGAAATCACTTAAAATAACATACAATACATAAAAAATTAAAAATACAGCTGAGCCATAAAATAGCACTACATGGAATCTTTGATTTTAGCTTTGGAAGAACCTAAATCAAAATCTAAAGCATGGCTGTCAGGATGATCACCAGACTTATCCATTTGAGAGAGGGTTGGAATGGAGGGTATTCTCTTTCATTGTTCAAACTGAGCTCAACTCCTGATGCATGGAGAAAAGGCCTTCACAAGCCTCTGCTATTGTGTACATAGTTTATACTAAGTGACTCATAGGTTGAGGAGCCGTGGCGGTATAGGATGAAGCGGCGGTGGAGGAAGAGGTAGCCAACACTGTTTTTTTGTTTTTTTTTTAACTGGGTTATCCCCCAAAATATTGGAACATATAAAAAAAGAAACATTTGCGGCCTGCGGTGCATTTCTTGCAGTCCAATAACGCCATCAGGTTTTTAAAACTGTCCGTCTCCACCAGGCGGAATGACAGCATTTCAAAGGCCAGGAATTTTGAAATGCTGGCATTCAGGGCCAGGGATCGTGGGTGGGTAGGGAAGTATTCCTCTTTCTCTACAGTGTTTGGGAGATGGACAGCTGAACGCTTCCATGGGACAGTGTAGAGATGCTGGACATTTGTGTACCTGGCCTATGCTGGTGCAGGTACCCTCAGAGCCACTTGTGAATGACTGGCCTGATAACAGTGGAAATTACCCCCCTTCCTCCTCCTCTTCCTCCTGTGCCACATCCTCTTCCATCATCGCCCAAAGTGTTTTTTCAATGAGACATAGAAGCGGAATAGTAAGGCTGAGAACGGCGTCAGCGGCACTGGCTATGTTGGTGGAGTCCTTGAAACAGCACAACATGGCACACAGGTCTTGTATGGAGGCCCACTCATTGGTGGTGAAGTGGTGCTGGTCAAAATTTACTTTTTAGAACCTAAAGAATTTGAATTTTTAAAACTGCAATGTAAGCACAATATTTGACGGTTCTATTTGACTCTCAGATATGAAGTGCAGGCACCAAATTGACTTTTTAGCACCTAAAGAATTCAAATGTTTAAAAATGTGCTGTAAGCACAGTATTGACGGTTCTATTTGACTTTCAGATATGAAGTGCAGGTACCAAATTGACTTTTTAGCACCTAAAGAATTAGAATTTTTAAAACTGCCTTAAAAATGCTGCCTTAAAAATGTCACAGCAGTATTTGACGGTTCTATTTGACTCGCAGATATGAAGTGCATCGCAGGCCACAATTGTACTATTTAGCAGCAAAAAAATTTGAATGGTTAAAACTGCTGTTACGGTATAACCCGGGTATCGAGGGTTAATACCAAATGAGGGATTCACCTTGATAAGGGGAATAGCAAATGCTTAAATTCACCAAACTGGGAAAATACACAAAATCCTTTTCTCCTTGATACGGGACCAGCAACTCCCGAACTCCAATTTCCCGAATAAAGAATCAGACGAAATCCTTCTCTCCTGGAACAGGCAAAAGAATAATCCAAAGTAGCAATCCCCCCAAACACGAAACCAAGCTCCGTCTTGAGGGTAAAACAGGAATCTGCTTTATTGAGGGCTACATGCCCGGTATTTATGCAGGTCTCCTACCTGGTGGACACCCCCCTAGGGGACCAGATGGAAGACTGGGACAATTATAGTAGCCAATCACAGTGGCTCAGGCATAAACACTCCCCTTTGTACAAGTAAATCCCTCCTCTCTATCCTGGAGATAATTGGGAAGAAATCCAATTATCTCCATGGATAGAGGCAAAACGCCATTTTACAGGATACAATAAAAATACATAAAATTCAATAACTGTAAAACTATCGAATGTATTCAGTACATATCATGTATCCCCAGATACAAAAAATGCTGCGCGGTCCGTGATCACGATCCGCAATCGCGGCCCGCCGGTACAGGCAGGCGCCCCCTTGCATCCCCAACACCCCAGCATCCTTGGGAACAGCCCCAGAACCTGTCTAGAACAAACGCGATCGCGGTAAAATGCCACAATTTGCGTGAGAGACAGGGAGGGGAAAACAACAATTATACAAATAAAACACTTGTAAAGTGACAGATTATAAGTAATAAGGGGAGAAAATAAGCACTTGTAAAGTGATAGTATTATAAATAACGTGGGGGAAACAGGAGATAAAACTAAGTATCCAGTATATGAAAAGCAATCAATGGCTTAAACAATGAAAAAACTGTTGGAGCAAATTCCTCTGACCTGTGCCCTGGCTGGAGCAGCAAAGAAAGAGGAAGTCATGTGTCTGTCAGGGTTTTATATATGGATGTGATGCCTGTTACTGATTGGTTTAAAGTTTATTGATTGACTTGTGCTGCTGGAGGCAGTTATGCAAAATATGAAGCCTCCTGTCATGTAATAAAAGATGTATAGATTAACGTTTTCTAGCAGGCTATAATATATGATTCATATCAACTGGTTATCATATTTTCAAAGTCCAATTCACGGATTAATCCTTGGTTTCGACTCTGCTCTCTCGTTTCAGCATAAATCTCCCTTAAGAGGTCAAGTCTAGTTGCTGTTACACCGCAAGCTTCATCTCTGCTCTTCAAGAACTCAAGTTACGTTCCAGTTTCCCTCTCAAGTATCATCCTTCTCATCTGGCATCCTGAATCCCTCGTCTGGTTGCTACAGTTCCGGTTCCTATTTGTTCGCAGCCAGAAAGAGGAAATGACATCACTGGGAGGGACTCATATACCTTGTTATCCTTTTTTCTGATTGGTTACATTGTTACTAAGTAAAAAAGTGCTGCTGTGAAGCTTAAGTAAAGAAAGTCTTAAGCAAATACTCGCCTCCTGTCATTAATAAAATTAAGATTATAGGTACACTAAAGCTAGCATAATCTACAATTATCTCCAAGGACAGAGGCAAAACTCCATTGAACACATGGTAGCAAAAGACAATAAAATACATAAAAATATATAACTGTGCAGCAATTGCATAAAACAGGTACATGCAACATATCCCCAGATAGCTTAGATCTGAGTGCACATTATTACTGAATGGCGCTCAGATAACATACATACAGTTCAATTGCCATGGAGCCAAAGTCTTTCACATAGTCTTTCGTTATACGAATGGGCTCCATGGCATAGCTATCTGGGGTATCACTGTTCAAATAGGACAAGTAACGAATGCCCTGGCTTTCGTGTCTTTGAAGGGGAAAATCAAGCTTTTCAACATGGGGCCATAGTCTAAATGCAGCAGGCGGGCAACCAGGCTCCTCCAATGAACAGTGGCGAGATTGGTCTCGTCACAGATATCATTCTTGTCGGCTGTACAGGATGTGACCTGTTTTAAAAACACTAAGGCTTGTGTTAATGACATCCAAATATTACTCAACACACTATTGTACTATTTAATCTCATAGACAATGGGCAAGGACACATAAATCAATTCATTTCAAAACATAGAATTCATACTCAACAGTCAATGCAATATGATTCCTGTTGTCATCCAACAAAACAGAAAAAAAAGACATAGTAGACAACAAGCAAAGTGGCCAATGCAAAAAGCAACCAGCAAAGTGGACAACCAGCAAAGTGGCCAATGCAAAAAACACATTCATGGATACACAAATAAACCATAACCAATCCAAAATAAGTTAATAAAATAAGTAAATACATTTCACACTCTATATCCTTCAGAGGAAACACCTTAAGACAAAATTCAGGTCTCTATGCTCATGGCATATTAATTATTACTAGACATATGCAATTTGTTTCATTCAGAATGTATATTCGGACAAATTTTGTGAAATTCGGACATTCGAATGCTGTAAGGCCCTGGGGAGATAGAGCAGCCAAGCGGACAAGGGCACATGTAGGAGTGTGGGGATAGATGCAGGGGATTGGTTGGGAAAGAGTGTGTGGGTGGGATTATGTTCTGTTTAAGTTAGTGTGGGGGAGGTCTTACTTCAGTACCACTTGGGATTCGGGCCAGCAAACAGCTTCCTGTCCTCCTGCTCCTGTTTGCCTCGGCCTGTAGTCTTCACAGCTTGAGGTGATGGATATTGAGGTGATCCTGGCGTCCTTCAGGGCTGCTGCAGAGCTGGATGGTGGCCGGCAACTGGGGGAGCAATTTGCAAACATTAATGGAGGTATGGCTGCCGTTGTGGGCCCCCCCGCAGCCCACCTCTCTCCCTGGAGCACCCCCTGCGGTCTCCTCTGCTGCCTCCCATGTGGCCCCTGTTCCCACCCGCCTGCCAGTATTTCCCCAGATAATACTCCTCGGGCCCGGTTGAGGAGGTGGAGCCACTGCCGCGCAGCCCACTGCCTCTACTGCCGCACGGCCTGCTACCGCCAGCTCCGGGATGCAGCTTACTGGCGCTGCGCGGCCTCCTACTACTGCCGCCGCGTGGCCGGCTCAGCGGTCTCTCTCCACACCATCTGCCCTGGCCGGCAGGACCGGATCGCGGGCCGGGAGCAGTGGGTGGCGGATGGGGCTCTCCGAGCGGGAGGCGGCTGCCCGGCAACAGTCCGGGTCCCCCCGCGGCCGTCGAGGGGGTGGGGCGGTGAGTGGGCCCTCGTGGGCCGTGCTGGGTACCTCTGTACTGCCGGGTGGGTCCCCTTGCCTGTTGGGAGCCTCCTCTGTCAGTGAGGAAGGCTCCGAGGGCTCCTTTTTTTCTGTCCCCCCTCCATCCCCTGTTCATTCTTCTGGGGGGCCCAGCTTCCTATAGTGGGTCTACACCCACCCACCTTCCCCCCTTCTGCATTTCTTGTATCACCCCTTCCTGTCTTCCCCTCTCTAGGTCCCTTCTCTCTCTCTTCTGGGTCCCCTCTGTTCTCCCCCCCCCCTTCTGCCTGGCCTGGGCCCCTCTCCCCCCCCCCATGCAGGTCACTTACCTCGGCCATCTTCTCTGGGGCGTGGGCTCACATCCTCTCTGCTGCTTTCTTCTCAGGACACTGCTGCAGTTGTCCATCAAGCAGGTGGCACCTGGATCACAGCTGATATCTTCTGTGGATGCTGGAACCACTGTTTCCTTGCCTCAGCCTTCTGTGAGTGCAGTGCCGGGCTTGGATCGCCAGGCTGCAACCGGTGTGTACATTTCCCCCCCTTTTTTAGCCCTTCGCGTGCGTACGTTGTTCCTTCTTTTATTCAGTCGGGTCCTCTTAGCACAAAAAAAAAATTAAAAAAATTACAAGAAATAAATAAAATGTAAAATACCAAATGGAATAAATTACAAAAAAAAAAGTGAATACAATGACAAATACAAGAGGAAGATTAAAAAAATAAAAAAGGGGTACATGGATGCCGCTTTCCTCCCTCCCCCACCTTCATTTTCAGTATGTATCATATGTGTAAGTATGCTTTCCTGCAGCATCCGGCGCAGCTGATAGCGCTGGCGATGCCTCCCAGGTTCATGCGACTCTGGGTGCTGCTGATCTATTATGGCCCACTTGGCTTGCGCTTGCGCGAAATACTAGGGAGCAGATGGGGGAAGGGATTTTTATTGGAGGTATGTTCCCTCCTGCCACGGGGGATCCCTTGACTAAGAAAGACATTAGGGGCTCCGGGAGGGTCGGGGGGAGAATACTGTGGTCGGATACACACCATGACACATATTTGGATGCGCACTGTGGATAGCATGGTTGGGGAGAGGGCTCCCCGAGAATGCGCCACGTAGTTCTGCGGTCAGGAAACTCTCTGGGACACGTATTGTGGGTTGATGGAGGTACGTCTTGCACTTTCGTCGACAGTTGGCGATGCGACCCTTCTTGGCCTGGGACCGGAAGGATTTCGGCCTCTGGTTTTACTTAGGGCTCGCCTGGCACCTCAGCACGGTGCGTTTTCATCCTCTCTGCAATCTGTCGGGATAGGGGACGTGGGTGCTCTCGGTGCAGGACCCTCAGTCCATGTGAGAACTCCATCGGGTGGTGTGGGTCCAGTTTACTAGGAAGGCTTGATAAGCTTACTTCCCGACCATTTTTAGTGTGCCCCTGTAGTCCGCTCCGCGGGTCCCTCCTTTGGTATATGGTGCCCATGGAGGAGCGGGGTCGATAACGCCAGATTCCTTATTTACTCGGTTGTCATTCCCTTCCAGGGGCTAGATTTGGGATGGTGGCTCGGCACAGCGGTCTGCGTGGGTGGGACTGCGGGGCCCTGGGGCCTTGCTGATGAAGGCTGCTGCCGGTACACCCGGTGTGTTATTGTTTCCAGGCTGTGTTTCTGACGGTCAGGATTAGGTGGCTATGGGCCTCCACGAGAGTTGCTCCCGATGTCGCTTATGTGTGGGGCCATCAGTGTCGCATGTCCGCACTCTGCTGCTGCAGTGTTTTCTTGGGGTAGTGTTTTGGCGTATCGGAGTTCCGTGGCCCAGGCCATATCCGTGGGTCGGGATACGTGCTGTAGTCTACTGGAAAGTGGGATCGATTCTGGCCAGGGGAACGTCGGTTGCCCCTGACTGTGGTTTAAGACATCAGGCAGGAGGCGTTGGTGGTTTTGGGGGCGTTGTGGGTTTCGGCTGCACTACCTGTGGGCTCTCCTGTGTAAGCTGGGCTTTGCCTGCTGGTGTTGCCCTTGGGGCTGTATGGGGTTCCTTCTGGGCCTCCATTAACGGTGGCTTGTGCAATCTGGCCCGCTAAGTCCCTTCCGCTGACTTCCAACTGTTTGCCGCTGGAGCAGGTTTGGGTTTTTTTGGGGCCATTTTGGGCTCTCAATGGTGTGCTGACTCTTGCCCATTAAGCTGGCAAGCATCGGGGCCCTGACGGACACCCAGCTCACGAACAGGTGGGTGGTTTTTCCTTTAGGACAATCGTGGGGTGGTGCTGGCTGTCTTTATCATGTGGCAGTACCCTCTACCCCGGTGGTACTCTGGTTGCGGCACCTGGCTCAGCGCTGTTTGAGTCTGGAGGCGGCTGGTAAGGGGATTTGCCCGAGTATTCCCAATGTATTCCCAATGTGATGGCCGATGCTCTATCTTGTTCACTACTACTTCGGGCGGAGGCGCTGTGGGGTCAAATTATAGGGCAGTGGAGATGTGGTCACTTGGTCCAACGGCTGATCCGTGGGTCAATCTTTGAGGCGGAGTGGGGCCTGCTACAGTATGGTGGGAGTGATCGGGACGGATGGGAACGTTTCCTTGGGGGTTCCGGGAGTAGACTGCTCATCTACATGTTTGGTTCCGTCTATTAAGGGCGTTGGAGGCTGGGGGGTAGTCCTCCTCAGTGATTTCTGCGATTAGCAGGGCTCGGCTTCCCGTTCATGTTACGGTTGTCTTCAAGTGGGAGGTGTAGCGGAGTAGCAGGGGTTAATCCAAGAACTCTCCGCTGGGAACAAAGTTTCAGCATACAAGAATACAGGAACACAGCATAATCCCCCTCCCCAAGGACTAGACGACACATAGTCTGGGAGTCAACTGATGTCTTTATTCACAATTCTGCTTTTATGCATTTGTCCCATGCAAGGGAGATAACTTCCATAATTATTACAGTATCCAATCACATAGTGGTTACCTCCCCTACATCTCCTCCCCTTAGATTAACAGTTAAACTTATTAATAGGTACACAGCTTTCCCCAATTCGTGGATGTACCCTAAATACCCTTGAATGAGGGGTCCCCTGGTAGCCCTGATCTGGGTGAGCAACATACTCAAAATTCACCCAGATCGGCCCAGGGGTTCGGGAGTTATTGCAGGAGGAAGATTTGACCGTCTGCACGGGCTCAGTAGCCGAAAATAGTTCCATGGATTCTGGCACT